CGTTCTGGTGATTTTTCACTCAAAGATGAAAAACGCTCTGGTCGTCCAATTGATGTTGATGGCGACGATTGTCACAGTACAACACGTGAGATTGCAGAGAAGCTTCAGGTATCACATACATGCATTGAAAATCACTTAAAACAACTTGGTTATGTTCAAAAACTCGATACATGGGTTCCTCACGAACTGAAAAAAACGCATTTAACGCAACGCATTAACAGCTGCGATTTGATAAAGAAACCTAATGAAAATTATCAATTTTTGAAACTGATAACTGGCGATGAAAAATGGGTTGTTTACAACAATATCGAGCGGAAAAGATCGTGGAGCAGGCCAGGTGACCCAGTTCAAACAACATCAAAAGCTGGTATTCATCAAAAGAAGGTTTTGTTATCAGTTTGGTGGGATTATAAAGGAATTGTCTACTTTGAACTCTTACCACCCAACCGAACGATCAATTCTATTGTCTACATTGAACAACTAACGAAATTAAACAATGCAGTTGAAGAAAAGCGGCCCGAAATGATAAATCATAGAGGTGTTGTATTCCATCATGACAATGCAAGGACACACACATCTTTGGTCACTCGGAAAAAATTATTGGAGCTTGGTTGGGATGTCTTGCCACATCCACCAATAGTCCTGACCTTGCACCATCGCATTACTTTTTGTTTCGATCTTTACAAAACTCCTTGAATGGTATCAATTTCAATAATGATGTAATCAGAATGTATTACATACCAGCTATTAATATTTTCCATATGAAATTTATGACGAGAATCTATTTAATCTACTTAATCTATCGTGAAGTATATACCCGTAATACTTTCTATTTATTACAACACCTTGATGAATTAATTATATCTCTTGTTTTAAATAAAACGATATTTGAATTCATTCCTTTGCGCTTAAAAGAAGTAAATATGAACGCATCTTAATATATTAAGGTAAATATAAAAAAGTAAAAGTACTCTATTTTTATTAAAAATCATTTATATATAATAATACGTTTAATACTGCTAAATGTAACTATGTTATTAAATATTTAAATATTTCCATTAATCTATTCATATTTGCATATTAGTACCAGTTCATTAACAGACTCTTTTGTAACCCAAACTGGCTTTTTGTGGGCGAGGGGACGACGATGAAAGACGAAGGGATCATCATTCCTTTTCACTTTCAAATTCTTTGAATGGCTGCGCTCGGTATTAAATAAATATATATCATTCGTTCAGAAATTTGAATTCTGTTATCTATTTTTAGTATGTAGTAATCAAATATGTTTTTATTGATTAATAGAATTATTTTGAAAAATTGTAAATAAGGAGAAAATTATACATACCATACAACGGTGTTAAATGTAATGATGTACGAGTATATATATTATTATATATAATTCTAATAAAAATGGTAACTTTACTTTTTTATATTTACATTAAATATTAGATGCCTTCATATTTATTAATTTTTTTAACCGCAAAGAATTCAATTCGAATATCATTTTATTTAAAGCAAGAATTGTAATTAATTCAAGGATGTGTTATATTAAATAGAAAAAAATATGGAGTAAAAATATTATGGATTTTAATACTTAAATCCCTGTTATAAATTTTAAACTATTAGTAGCGGGTATTCAATACATTCTGGTGGATTGGGGAATTCCCGAATTAAGTATTTTTTGAAATTATCAAGCGGGAAGGTATTATGTATATTGTTCTACCACATTCATGGTAATTGGAAACAAAATGTGAGACCATGATCTCAACATACAAATGAAATATACAACAATCTCAAAGGTGTCGCGTAGCCGAACCGCACAAACATTTGCGAAAATTTTATGAAAAGGAAGGAATCAAAAACTCGATTTGAGTTGCTGGACTCTTTTTGCTCGTGTGAATGCACTGAGCGAAAACTAGACAATAACGAGGGTCAAAAGAGTGCCCATGTAAACGCATTTTATAAATAGATAACTAAATTCAAGTTTCTGAACGAATCGCATATGTTCATTTGAAATCAAGCGCTCTTGAACCTATGAAACTAAATGCAGAAATGGGTGGCAGTATGCTGTTACGAACAAGAAGACAAAGCGTGCCACCCGAGCACGGTCCCTTCATCTTTCCTCGTCGTCCCCTCGCCTTAATAAACCGGTTTCAGCGACAAAAGTGTTCGTGTGTGAACTTGCAAAAGCAACCGTAATAGCATGACACACATACATTCAAGTTGATAAGACAGTTTCTAAAATAGTATTGTAACGAATTTCTCGATAAATCGTCTCAACTCAAAAACTCACTCTTGAGTTCCATCACTGGATTGTTAAATAAAAGCCAATTTAATGGCTATACACTTATCTATATTTCTAATTCTAAGAACTTAACACTTATTGCACGTTATTCGAGCTTACAACTTCTTGCTTATGTCTCAATTGCTCTTAACACGACAATACTCTAACTAGAACTGCACAATCCGGCAGACCTTATATAGCAGAACTTTAACTTTATCCATTAATAGTGGACTTCACCACTTTTGGCTCGGAAGGAGAAATTTTAACAGTGGAGAGTGAACAGAGCTGAGCATTGTATGAAAATTATGCTCAGAGACTTGCTTTGATATTACAGCTGCATGTTAGCCTTTTGGCTTATATTCTTATACGCTTATATGCAAACATATTTATTGATATGAATATCATTTTGCGAATTTTTATGAATGCATGCAAAACTGATAAGACTCTAATTAATTAATTAAATTTAAGTAATTTTAAAAATATTATATATAGTCAATTTGGGAATTTAATGATTTATTTAGTTTTTACATAATATACTTTCCTAATAGAGATTAAATTTATTACAATATATGTGCGCGCATTGATTTATATGTACACGCATATATGTATGTAGACATAAAATTGCCGAACAAAAAATGCATACACAAACCAACATACATACATATGTATATGCGTACACATATAAATATGTCCCCCGCAAAAACTTCAAACATTGTTTTACAAAAACAACAATCGTCACAAGTCAATATGTCAGCCAAATAGGCGAATCCCAAATTTATAGTAAATTGCACAACAACAACATTTTCATTCATGAACGCAGGCGTACTTTTAACAAGCAACCTCGCTTCATTCATAAAAACAGATACCCTCACATCCCCCCGAGCATGCTTTTACCTACAAACGTCTTTTCACGACGATGGCAAAAGCTAAAAATCATAAATTGAACAAATTTCTGATATTCCCTCTAGAAGGGAAAAGTGACAACCCCTCAAATATGAGTATTAAAATATTTTAGAATAAAAGTGACAACATAGTATATTTGTCGATTTACAATTCAAGAAACTTTTTTAAAAAAATATTCAATATTCCTCTGATTTATGTATACAGTAAACCCCGGTTAAATATCACTCCTCCAATCCCTCTTATCTGCCTGTGTCTTGCTGCATCTCACGTTTTTTTTCTTAATTTTTTAAGGAAAACGTTAATTTTGTTTTAAATACATAGAAATTATTTTGTTTGGTACCACTCGCTTAAGTACCACAATCGCTTATGTACTACAGAGCACAAAAAATCTGCATCTTTGGTTTTGGCACTTAACCGGGATTGACTGTATTTGCCATCTGCCCGTATATATGCACATGACTTATTGACTTTGCACTTGCCATATGCGATGTATGTTTGTAAAAGTGTGTTTGGTTCTGATTTCCCATGAAACAGTGAGTGTACATATTTACATACATACGTTGCATATAGACAAATTAACAATTATAATGGGTACTTTCATATTTGTTTACATGTACACATAATTATACATATACTTACAAATATATGCATAAGAATATTTGCGACCGCTTGGTCTTTTCTTATGGGGTTATGTCAAGCAAGAGGAGTACAAAATCAAACCCAGAAATTTGACTGAACTGAAGCAGTCCTTTAAATACATATTTGATGCAATCCCGACTTCAACCTTTCAGCCCGCATTAATTTGCTAATTAGGTGTGGCATATGCGTGGCTAAGCATGGAGGAATAAGATTAAAATTTTCTATACAATACAACAAAAATTGATAAAAAAAAGAAACTTAATACGGTTAATTTTTGTAGCATGATTCGTGAGCCGCCCTGTATATGCAGAATTTCTTTAAATTATATGTAAATTCGTTTCCGCATTGTAAATATACGAATCTGTAAGCGTACATTTCTTAACATTGAATTTAGCATTATTTTTCTCATTTAACACTCAAAATGCTCAATTCTGCTATTTTGCGCTCCGCAGGGGTAAAATTCTGGTGAAATCCGCTTATAATTTGTTTGAGGTGAGATCCTCTTAAGTTGGCGAGTAACCCTCCGTCAAGAGGAACATTTTGACAATCGGCACACCATGAACCTTCTCTATGATATACGTTCTCTGTGTCTAGTTGCTTCTGGCAAATTATTGTCGGTTCGATTTTGTTCTAACATCCGTGTTCGTCACAGTGTAGAAGCGATGAAAACAGTGAAATAAAATCACATTTTGTAAGCCTAAAAATAAATGAAATGATTATATTGACATCAAAATTATTATATTTGGGATATTACTTACCTTTCTTCGCTACCTGTTGGCGAGCTGTTTGACAGCAAACTGCTTTTCACAGTATGTGGTGACTTTTTGAAACTTTTTTCTTATGACGATCAAGCGAGTTCACCTCCAATAAGTTGTCAGGTTTTCTCAGAATAGTGCCGTATATATGCATATCGAATACAAATAACATAGTTGTAGGCTAACATATTGCCTAAAAATTTCAATTAGTAGACAATTTTCAAATAAATGCATTTTGATTCTTTCAGTAATATTGTAATAACAAAATATTTTCCATAAATCATTAATTAATTAATTTTACAAATAAATCTAAATGTATATGTTTTTGTTTTAAATTAAAATTTCAGGACTTATCTTTTGATTTGGCAAAGCAATTTGTAAAATTTGTTTATAACGTAGTAATTTTTTCACCCCAACTCAATACAAGGAAGAGTTGCCGTTTGGCACAGAGCCCTACTACAATCTTTATAAGGTCTAAACGCATAATTATACTGAATTGTAATTTGTAAGATTTTCTTTCAGTCATGTAGTAGTATACAATAACTGTCAGCCACGTCATTTGTATTAATCTTTCAATGTTGTCTTGAAATTGTTGGAATTAGTGTTGAAATTTTTAGTTTCGACAACATAAACTTGAAAATATTTTGATGGAATAAGGATTGCGTTACATATTAATTTTCACCTTATTACATTTAAGAGAAATGAATATTTTTCGCTTAGCCGGTGATTTGTCACACGTAGTGGCTATAATCATATTATTGCTAAAAATTTGGAAAACTCGCTCCTGCGCAGGAATATCTGGAAAATCTCAAATTCTGTTTGCATTGGTTTATTTAACGCGTTACTTGGATTTGTTTACTACTTATGTTAGCCTTTACAATTCTGTGATGAAGGTTTTATTCCTTTCGGCGTCTGGGACAACATTATATTTGATGTATGGAAAATTCAGAGGAACTTACGACCATAATCATGATACTTTTCGCATTGAGTTTCTACTTGTTCCGTGTGGCTTACTCTCATTGATCATTAATCATGAATTTACTTTAATGGAAATTCTGTGGACGTTTTCAATATATTTGGAATCTGTAGCTATCCTTCCACAGCTGTTTATGGTTAGCAAAACCGGGGAAGCTGAATCAATTACTAGTCACTATCTGTTTGCTCTTGGTTCATATCGGGCTCTTTATTTATTAAACTGGATTCATAGATACATTGCGGAAACTCATTACGATTTGATTGCGATATTTGCAGGAATAGTACAAACTATTTTATACTGCGATTTTTTTTATTTGTATATAACTAAAGTACTAAAAGGAAAAAAGTTGCAGTTACCGGCATAATTGCTTGGAGTGGCTGGTTATTTTGAGTGTTAATTAGAATTAATGAATATCCAAATGTAATAACTTTTAATTATTTAAGAGTGCATTTTAATATTGTATCTACAACTTTTCGAAGTTAAAAAATGTAATAATAATTTTATGTTCTCCATAAAGTCTAATTTTAGTAGTGTAATATTTCTTCACTTGTGAAATAACTTAATAAACTGCTAGCAGCTTCAATTTCTTTAGTTTTTGAAGATAACCAATAAAGATTTTGAATGCCAAAAACAGAAAAGTTTTGGTCTACATTTTTCTAAATGTTGGTAACTTTTATAGTTGATCTAAATTAAAGCTTGCTAATATCGAGTTCGTGTACATGGCGTAATTTTTCACGGTCTATTATAAACGCCGATTTTAATGCGGTGGCAATAAACTCGTAAGAGCTCGTTTTTTTCCTAGAATCTATTCACATGTACTATTCACTGCAGTTACAGGAAACAACAGATATAACAAAAGGATAAATAAAGCAATTTTTTAACTCAAAAACGTTTTACCACTAATTTGAAGCAATTCAAGGTAAATGTATAATTTAGGTCTCCAAATGAAGGATGCCGGAAGGAAGGATTTAAATCTTATTTTGACGCGATGATTACAAATTCATGAGGGGAAAGTGAATATTTTGAATAATTTATGTATACTTTTATATAAATATGTATTTAACCCACTTTGCACAAATTTTTCGAGTAACTTAGTTGTTTTTTTTTGTTGTTGTAGCAGTAGAATTCTGTAGAATTCGGATCACTTAGCAGTAATTACCGTTCAACCCTGGTCGGTCCAACATCAGGGGGTCCATAGTTTTTGAACTACAACCAGTCCACTCTTCACATTTTGTGAATTGGCTTAAGGATAATCGGGTACTTGGATAGTAGTCTCCTATGTTTAGTTACTTCTGTTGTCTTTTCTAACTAACCGCAGAAGCTCTTCCACGACTCCCTTTTGGCTTTGTGAATCTCCTTTTTATGTTATTTTAGTACATCTTTATATTCCCTCCAGTAGGGATCCTCGTCGGCTATCTTGCCTAGTTTGAAGAGTTCATGAACACTCCGCCTACGTCATCCGAGCTCCTTGTTACACCAAGGTGGCTTCGAACCACGCTTCGAATTTGATGGAGGGCATTATATCTAATACGCTTTATTGAAAATATTCGTAAGGTTTTTTAAACATTCGTGACGGTCCCTTTCTCTAGTTGAGAGATTGAGTCACATGCCTTGAGTCTAGTTAAGTTCCCTGTTACTATCTTTTGTACAAATCCTAGTAAGTGTTCTTAAGATTTCTGAAAGTTGAAATTTTATTGAGGGCTGAGAATTTTCCCTGAAATCGTACATACCTATGGTCAGAAAACGAGTGGGTCCGAAGCATCTCCCAATCTTCAACCTTGATTCTTGTGCTAGTATGTATTGTTACTTCTAGAAAGTTCTTCGAGGTAGGTCTGCATATGTTGGTTCTCCACTCCTTTTAGATATAGCTAGATTGCTTATCAGTATAAAACTTAGTAATGACACTATCGTTGGTAAGTGTCTCATTCCTTTACAGCCACCACCGTCGGGTCATCTGATAAGAAATTTAGGTCAGGTAACAGTTCTTACCTTATTTGTTGCACTCGGGATGTATGTATGGTATGACGGCGACTTTAGTCCCGATACCATGTTTCCCGAAGCTATCTATGTTTCTTGAACTAAAATCGCGTCGTAGCCGATCCTCTCTAAATTGAGAAGATATAATTATAATAATAACCCAACGATTACCCTCCTCCCGCCCAACCGACGCGAGGGGCGCAATCCGCATACGTGCGGAATTAGTCGAGTCAGAAAAGGCAAGAGAGTTTTTTAAGTGTTGAGATCTAAAACTGCTCAGCTACAGAAACAAAAATTTCAACAGCTAAGATTTAAAGTTACAATATAATAAATTGTTACATATTCATTTATTAAGAGAAAACAATAAAGTATTTTTAATTTTGAAAAGTGAGTCAGATAAGTCAAATGTGCTGGAATGAGAATTAAAATCAGTAGGTTTATTTGAATAATCTTCAATGCTACGCTGCCTCTTAGCCGCGATTCCCTAATCGATCCAATTCGCAAACTTCGCATCCTTGGACGAAAATTGCGGTTTCGATGCGTAGTATGCTCGATCTTCTTTCTTTTTTTCCTTAGCCCAAGCCAACCTCTCCTCTTCTTCCTTCGTCCGGTTGAACTTGAAGCTTAGTCTATCATGGACTTTGACCACCGCTTTTTATGAAGCTTTCGCCTTCAACCCTTCCTTGCTGGGTTTTGTTCTGGGCCTAGTATTAATGCCAGTACCCTTGGCAGCCCCCGGAGATCGTGGCAAAGCTTCCTCTTCGATCGTGTTAACGCTTTCGAGGTCCGAATCTTCATGAACCGTGGCACCTTTGCGTTATAAAGCGGGCTTGGCAGTGGTACTACAATCGCAGTACCTCTTTAGCTTATGGGAGTGTGGCGCGAAAGAACATGTACATGTGTTTATTTTTTAACCTTTTTGTAAAAATTAATTTAAGAAAAATTCAACAAAAAAATTAAATTTTGAAAAAATTAAATTTTGAAAAAATTTACTTTTTGCGACCTCCTTCGTTGGCATTTTGCTCGTGATCCAAAAAATATCGTGAAATAAACTCCAAATGTTAAAAAATTAACAGTTTTACTTTTGCTGTCATGTGCCGTGGAACCCCCAAATATAGTCCCCAATCATGCTATCAGTATACTGACCTTGGTAACGCCTCTCAAATTTCATTATATTTTGAAAGAATTGTTCTCCTTGAGCTTGTTTGAATAAGCTGCCGTATTATCTTTAAATTTATCTAAATGAGAATGTAACATGTGCATCTTTAGAGACATTCTACGTCCGATGATGGAGAAATTCCCAATCATGTCAGTGCTTAGCTCGTCATAATCGTCAGCCCTATGGTTTCCAAAGAAACTAAGCACTACTTAAACCTGTTCCAGACTTTTTTCTCCTTATTGCTAAGTAACTCCGGGCGAATATCACATTCCATATTTTTTTTTTATTTGAGGGCCTATAAAGATTTCAGCTTTTATTTTCGGCTCTGAAAGCTTTGGAAAAAAATTATTCAAATATTTGAAAGATGGTCACCTGGTTCGCTCCGAATTCTCGGCACTGCAAATTTCTCTGCTCTTTTCTTACTTCGGTACCAGCTTACAATGCAACGTAACATATTATAACCTGTTTAAAAAACGGGGAAAGAAACACAGCATCCAGAATATATCTGCAAGAGTTTCAAGACACATGTGGGGCCAATTTTTTGTTCTGATTTTTAACAGGTAGATTAAAGTAAGCTTGATATGCAATAGCAAACTTTTTCTCTTTCATTTTAGTAAATTCGCCGCAAATATAGCAAAACGAGTTACCGTCTCATTTCCAACTTCTCGAAGACATTTTGTACTGGTTGTAACAAGAAACGAAATTATGAAACACGTTATTCCTCTGCAATTTAAATTAAAATTTACATCCGAGTTAACACAAAAGGACTTTATAGGAGTAGGTGTTAAAATTTATATTTGCGTATATAACCAGAATATATTAAGTAAAAGCCATGCGCAAAACAAAAAAAATGTTTTGACCTGTGTAATATACATCCACACTATACTTGGCGTACAGCTCCAGGGCTTACCGGGTCAGCGTTTGCATACCATGAGTGGTTTTAAGGGTTTAACTATAGTTAGTTCACCATGCTCATTCCACCGAGGATAGAGTATGAGGCCCAAGTATCTATCTCTCTGCCGCCAAGGGTTAGGGTTGATGTTGTTGTTGTACCGATTATCCAGACCCTGCTTAAGTGAAAGCAATAAGTTAACTGTTATCGAAATAATTTGACGGTAGGCCCAGTAAACGAGCTATTTCGTCGGTGATTTAGTTTCATTTGGCATTCGTGTCGTGCGGAGGCTCATTGCATGCAGGACATAGATTTTGTATGTCAGGGTCTATTCTGGATAAGTAGGAGTTTAACCTGTTTCAATACCCAGAACAAAGTTGCGATTGCTAGTGAGGGTCCTTAAGCCCGGCAGAGACTTTCTTTTGGGTAAAGGGACAATGATCGTTGTCGACAGGTTACTGTTTAGTTCTACTTGCTGCACTATCCCTTATGTCGTCCGCGTACCTTTGAAAACATATTCCATTCTCTATAAGCAACTCAAGGAGCAAATCTACGACTAAGTTCCATTATATAGGGGTACAGTACCCCGTTTTGAGGACATCCTTTCGTCTCTTGATGTCTAAGAAAATGCATTGTCCAGCATACTTTGGACTTTCGCGACTAGCTTGTACAAAGCAGTACGGGAGGACCTACCTGTATGTGAATAGTCCTACCTCCTTTAGGTATGAAGAATACCTTTACCATTCTGAACGGTTTCCAGATATATACTCCATCGCAAAGCTATCTCTCATCAGCCTAACAACATGGAGTAACAGGACTTTCCCTCCCTGCTGCAGAAGTGCTGAAAAAATGCCGTCCGCCTCAGGCGACCAATGTTTCTGAAAGGAGGCCAGTGCCCACTTGACTAAGTCTTGCTATCATGCTGTCCCAATGTCCTTTTGTTTAACTTTATCGTATCCCTAAAGACATCTAAATATATGTGTCTGAGGTTACATGTCTTCCGGAGGTGATTGTCTTCTAATTTTCGCTCCCCTGCAACTGTAGCGCCTGCTTGACTGTGCCAGCGCCGAAGTGAGTGGGTACTTCATCCACCAACATATTTTCCTTTGCATATGCTTTCTCTATCTAATTACCACTTGTAAAACTCATCACCGATATTGAGTCGCCATCCGGCAAACTTAATGCTGTTATCAATTACCCGCTAAGTCTTTTTAGGTCAAAAAGAGACCAACAACGAACTCGTATGATTTACTTCTATTGTCCATGGGCGGAACTTCCTCACCCCACTTCTCGCAGAGGACTGGACCTTTCCATAATTCTAGTTTTGGAGCGATCTCCACTTGACAGCTGGCAGTCTTTTCGTTCTCGGAATCAACTTGCAGCAGATCTGATCTGAAATAGACACCATGGAAACAAACAGGGTATCCACACCCCCCGTAAATTTCATTTATGATGTTCTCTTGAAGCGCGGTGAACTCCTCCGACCCCAATGTCTACATCGCTGTGGCGAGGAAACACCGCCATGCCTTTTAGGTCATTGGCTTGCTTCTCGATCTCTTGTGGCTGATTCCCAGGTGGCAGGTGGAATCCTCTTTATAAAATATGGTAAA